ACCCATGAACCTCCAAGTAGTGCTTCCACGTGCCAGGCTCATCCTCGAGGACATCCCCCAGTAATCTTATGCCGGGGTCAGCAGTTTCAATAGTGTGGGCTTAGCAAACACGGGCTTTCGGCACCGAGGATTGGGGTGAGCCAGGGGCATTTTTTTGATTTGGTCCTGTGAATCCCGGCCTTGCGTGCCCGGGTGCTGTCGTGAGGTGTAAGACTCTCAGAGTGTGTTTGTCGCAGGAGGAATAGCAAGCGAAGGAAGCCGACGAACGGGAGACTGAAACAAGCTCACACAATCAAGCACGAGTACCCTCAACTGAGCACCCCTAAACCCTAAACCTTTCCTAAACACACCATTCTTCGGAACTCCTCGTCTTTCCAGGCGACGTCATGGCAGGAGCACCAGCTTGAGCTGAGAAGCTTCTGAATGACTCGGAGCTTCTCCCCAACTTCAGGATCAAACCCCCGCAGGCACCGCATGGGGTAGGAACTAATTCTAAGTAGGGTTAAAGGGTTCCTTTAAGGAGGCGTAGTTTTAAGTGCGGTTATGAGTCCCCTAGTATGGGTTATAAGTATAGTTACCCTACTTATAACCACATTTATAACTACCCATGAACCTCCAAGTGGTTCTTGCTAGGGTTCTTACTGGGATCCTGTCTTCCGGGCTGTTCGAGTACGCCCAGAACACCGAGACAGGTGTAGAACTTCCTCGGTTCGGCTCGCATGTCGTGAGGTACTTGGAGGTTCATGGGCAGTTATAGACGGGGTTACTATAAGGGTGACTATAAGGGTATAGGGTTTAGGGTTTAGGGTTTAGGGTTCATGGGTAGTTTTACATGGGGTTATAAGTAGGGTAGCTATACTTATAGCCCATATTAGGGGACTTATAACCCCATTTATAACTACCCAGGAACCTCCAAGTAGTGGTTGTTGTAGCGGCTTTGCACATGAGGAGGGAAGGTTTGTAGCTGAGCTGTTTCGCGAACTTCGCGTTTCCCTCAGCTGAGAGGTTGCGGATTCTGCAGACTCTGCTTGGAGTTTCATGGGTAGTTATAAATGGGGTTATACGTAGGGTAACTCTACTTATAACCCATATTAGGGGACTTATAACCCCACTTATAACTACCCATAAACCTCCAAGTGGTGCCCGCAAGAACCGCCCCACTCAAACTATCAACATTTCACACTTGCGTCCCTTTGCAGGCATGAGCTCTCTTAAATGAGAACGAGCTCTCTTACATGAGAACCCCGGCACACGATGTGCTTCTCCTGAAGTTGTCGGCTCTTGACCCGCTTGCAGTGCAACATCAACGTCTTCCTGCCCAAAAGAGCGTGCCATGTCTGCCCGCAAACCGTTCGAGTTTGAGCCAAAGGTTAAGGGCTAAGCCATGTGCTTCGCAGGTGCCCCAACTGCTCGGACAGCCTCTTCCCAGCCTCTCTCTCGGCGCGTGCCCCAGGCAAGCTTCTAACATGCTGAAAGTGCATACACACTTCTGGTCGGAGCATCATCAGAAGTGCTGTCAGTCCTTGAACTGTGGCCTTATTTGGAGAACTCTAGCTTCTGGATGCTTCCGGAGTCTTTTGGTCGGACGGTTGGTGAGAGATCAACCGCAGTGGTCAGGAATGTCGAGCTGGGCGGTGGATGGAGCCCGCCTCCCAGTGGGCGCACGGGTTTGGAGATCGCTGACTCACTCCCTATCTCCACGCGCTCCAGACACTCATCTGACGGTACCTGTAGTTGATTCGCACACTGCTCGCATTCCCTGGTTCTTGCCCATTCCACACGATCTGCTGCACTGTGTCACACTCCCATTTCACCGAGTGTCACGTCCCAGAGAGAAGGCAAACCACTCAGCGCCGAGCCCGGAGAGGGTGCAGGACGAGTCGGATCATCCGAAGAGCAGATTCCGAAAGCAACGCAAGTAAGTTCCCAAATTATGTTCAGCCATTCCGAGCCCGACACTTCACGGTCACAGGTGCAAGCGTGCCGCCAACAAAAGCAACGTTGTTAGCATTGCTCCACTGGTAGTGAGTAGCAAGAGTGTTACCAGTCACTGGAATTGTTATGCTGCTAAGACTACTCCAAGTAAAAAGAGTGAGTGAAATTATGGTGACATTCCGTTGGCATGTGACCGTTCGATTCCTTGCTGCGCTGCTCCTTGTCTCAAGTCATGTTCGGGCCTTGCGTCCCCTTGATCCAACGAAGCAAATTTGGTGCACCGCTTGGTGGGCCATGGCCCCCCTTGTCAAGTTTACGACCTGGCTTGCTTGGCTGGCTTGTACTTTTGCCAACGTAGCTTGGCAGGAAGCCGAGGACTGCAGGGAGGTCTAATTTTCGGCTGTTACGTTCAAGCTTTGATGGGTGAAACTTGAGATCCAAATTTTCTTCAGAGCTCCAAGGTTGGCTCTTACAAGCTTTCGAGCATCCCTCTCAACGCGACTGGTCCCGACGCCGGCGTGGCGGCAGAGGAGCAGAACGTGAGCGAACTTCTCTCTCAGACCGTGCTCGATGAAATGGAGGACTCCCTTTCCCTAAACCCTAAACACTAAACCCTAAACCCTAAACCCTAAACCCTAAACCCTAAACCCAGCTTAGCTTGCTAGGGCCCTCGGATCTTAGTGCTTCCTCTTGAGGACTTCGGCCGCTTGCCCGATCCGAAGGAGAAGGGCGAGAAAGGCGAGAGCACGGGCGAGCTGGGCAAGAGCTTGGAGTTCTTGATGCTCAAGGTCGCCCAGCTTGAGACCCTGGCGGAGCTGCAGCAGACCGAGCTCGGGATGCAGCGTGAGCTCATCGAGAAGCTGCAGAAGAAGGTGGATCCGGAGGAAGCGGAGGTCTCGCTGGCGCAAAAGCAAAGGAGCTCCGAGGAGAGCGTGCAGGAAGCCCATGACGTCTTGAAGCGGGTGATCCAGAAGCACGCCCACCAGCGGGAGCATCGGGAGTACCATCCCGAAGCCCAGAAGCGGAGCTCGAAGCCCTCAGGCGAAGAAGCGGGCGAGGAAGGGCTGGTCCAGAGCCCAAGAGAACAGCGGGCCCTGCTCCAAAAGCGCGATGAGCGCCTGGGCCCGTTGAAGGAATGGGGCGAAGAAGCCTACGATGAAGGGAAGAAGCAGGTTGACAATGCCAAGAGAACCCTCGATAAGCAAATCGACAGTGCCGTCAAGAGGCGAGGCTTGCCAAACAGGGTCGAGGTCGTCCTTGGGACTTCGTAGAAGCGCATCCTCACCGCAGGGCACCCTGTCGAAAGAACGAAGACCCGAAACCTTAGACCGCTTCATTCCGTTAGAGAAGTAACTATTCTCTCTTGTCGACTGGCAGCGCGACTCCTTGAAAACCTGAAGATTCGTTGTTGCCCTATTTCCCGCAGGTTGGACGGCACCGGTCTCACCGGCAACGCCTTGACCCAGGCCTACAGAAGAGCCAGAGAGGCGGGGAATGCCGCTCGGTTCGTGGCCAACACCGCCATCAGCACGGTGGAGATGGCCGTGTCGATCCTGACGGGAGGCGGGAAGGGGGTTCCAGGCGACAGGTGTCTTGTGCGTAGGTCTTCAGGTATTCGAGTGCTGTCGGATCAAAACCGAGGATTCGACAACTGGGACGCGAGCTGCACCAATACTGAGCCAACCATCGGCGTGACTGGCTCCGAGCTCTACATAACCTTTGGGCGCCAGCACTGCACTGTCTCCCTCATGAATCAAGTCATGACTCTGTACGACTTCAACTGGGGCAGAAAAGCTGTAAACCTCCCCGTGCTGAGCATGCTGCCCCAACAGCTCCGGGACCTTGCCACCGCTCCCCTCAACGTGATCAACGCGCAGATGACCTTTGCCACTGGGATCGCGAACTGCGTCAATGCGGACCAGCCTCTTGGCCTCATCGAGTGCCTCGGCCACAAAATCATCGACCGCGTGCCCCCTCTGAGCTACCTGAACCGCATCAGCGACATCCTCACGGAGGCGCCCGGGGTCGGGAGCTTCGGGTTAGGGGTTTAGGGGTTAGGGTTGACAGTGGCTCGCGGTTGACAGTGGGTATGGCACATGGTGCATGCGACGTTTGTGAGGTCATCGAGGTCTTCGCCAGGATAGCGGGCACGGTTGTGGAGAAGGCGATGGAGAAGGGCCCATCTTTGGTGCAAATGGCTGCCACGGCTAAGTTTCCTGCTGCGGGAGAGCCACCTGTGCTGCACCACAAAGGCACCAACCTCATCATCGAGTCGCACACGCAGCAGATGAAAAGACTCGGCGGCAGCGGGCCTCCTCGAGAGATGGCTGCCATGCAAACGAACGCGCGACAGTCACAGGCCGGCGACGACCCCGATGGTGCCATCACCTACGACATGGGAAGCAGTGACGACGTCCATGCCACAAAACTCATCACCCAGTTCAATGGCAGGGAGACAGACACCAGCTCTTGCCTGGCTTTTGCTCCGAAAAATCGGGCGGGTGACGGTGTGAGCAAAGCCGATTGGCAGGTTGGCGACCAGAAGGATTTCCTGAAGCTGGAGCCTTGGGCTGTACCCTGCGACAACGTCTGGATGAAGGACAACTGGAACAGATGGCAAGGTTATACATTCTACACCCAACCATCGGCCATCGAGAAGTGCGTCACTGTGACCTTTAATCTGGGAATGCAGCCTGTCGTTGCCTTCGTCGGGGGTTTGCAGTTTGAGATCTTGCCGGCGCCTCTCTTCGAGCTGGGCACGACGGTCTGCTGGCCGAACCAGCAACCGGGAGGTGTTGACTTGAGCGTGTTGCGATCCGAGGTGAAGTCTGCGGGCATCCTGCTCTTCAGCCGCACCTTGCGCCTGACCAAGCGGTTCGGGGGTGGCACGGATTTCGTTTCTTCCAACTACAAAGGTGGCTACTCGACCTGGCGGAGCAATGCGGGCATCGCCCAAGGGGAGACCACGGTGCCCAAGGACGAACTCGGCCGCACGTCTCTGCTGGAGACCAACCAGAGCCACGATGCAGAGGAGGAAGAGGCCGAGGAAGCCCTGCAAACCCAGTGGAGGACGGACTCGGAGGACCTGTACCTGGCCTCCGTGGACTATGGCGTGAACCTGAACACCTCTGTCAACAAGACCTTCGAGGCTTTCGGCGAGGAGGCTGCCATGCACATGGGCACCGAGAGGGTGGGGAGGGATGTCTTCAAGCTTTTCAGCTTCAAGAATCCGGGGTTGGTGAACTTCAAGATCGAAGGTCTCATGAACGGCAACATCCTGGAGATGGGCATGGAGATGGGTTTCGGCCCGTACAGCAGTCCTTCCAAGAGGATTCCTTTGGTGAACATCGCCCATCAGTTCTCCCTCATTCTTGCGGGCATGCCTTTCGTATCAAGTCGAAGCAAGCTTAAAGCCATCGCCTCTCTCAACGATTTCTCCATAAAGGACATGGGCAAAACTCGGGGGCTCCCCTTGAAGCCAGGCTCCATCATTGCACTGTACAGCCCTCACTGCCGGCGCTTCATGCACATGAACAGCGACAAACTGGGGGTCACGAGTGAAATGAACGGCCACGGCGTCCCAGATCACTGGACCTGGGAACGCTTCACGGTCGTGGACGCCGGGAATGGGGAGATCGCACTGCACAGTGCCGTTCACAACCGCTTCGTGGGCACTGGCGGCGTCAGCCCGCATCGCAATGTCGGTGACTTGCCCCACGACTGGTCTTCAGAGCGCTTCACGGTGGTAGAGGTCGGAAACGGCGAGATGGCCTTCTACAACAGGCACCATAACAGGTTCCTGCAAATGGCGGCCAACCATGTGGGACACAGCGGCCACCCACCCAACCCTCCAAAACTTCCATCCGGCTGGGGTTGGGAGCGCTTCCGTGTCGTGGCAGCGGAGCGGATCTTGGTCCCCGGCACCACAATCGCCCTGCACAGCCAGATCTGGAACCGCTTCGCAAAGATGTCGGGGGGGAACATGGAGCGAAGCCCTGAAAAGAGTGCGGTGGAGATGCCTGACTGGTGGACCTACGAGCGCTTCACCGTGGTGGATGCGGGACATGGCCAGATTGCCTTGCACAACGCCGTCCACAATCGCTTCATCGGGGTGGGAGCAGCCAGTCCTCACAGGTTGGTGGATCAGTTTCCTGCAGGCTGGGCCTCCGAGAAGTGGGACGTATGGCCGGCTGGGAACGGCCAAATCGTCCTTTA